TGGAATATCTTTTATATCATACAATCGCGAGAGGCAAATAAAAGATGAAGAATTATTGAAAAATTGTCGAAACTTACCGTGGCTTCTTCATGGCTTGTCGATCGGCCTAACTCGACGTGTCACGTGTTTCGTGTGTACGTCATTTGGAATCGTCTCGTGGTATTCACGAATCACACGTCCAGAGGACACAAACGGAACTCGAGTTAAATTGACAAATCCGACGATTGAATACAAAAATTCCCTAGATCCTTTTCGCGCGACTCACGCTACTCAGTACTCCTATCTCGCTCGCACTTGTATTTCTGTGTAGCTTCTCGCACTACTTTTCTCTCGCTCCTTGTCACATTATTCTCCGTTTCGGTCTTTCTCAGAGCACGAAGGGACGTGCTGTACAGTAGGGAACGCGAGAAGGAAAACTCTGGCAACGTCGCCTGGCTCACTCGCTAGCTCTTTTGCGCCTTCTTCTCTCTGTTACGTCGTCGTGCTCGTCGATGTGCACCCTGTGCTTCTGTACTCTTTTTCTCATTCTTCCACACTCATGTACCGTCTGTCTATCTTCTTTCAATTTCCACACCGAAAGATCGCACGTATACACAAGAGTACAAGACGATACGGCGTGTACGGGACGTAACACACACCGACAGAGCCACGCTTTCGACGTATGAGTCGCGCGCACCGTGCTCAACCATCGAAAGATTTACTCCCTTTTTTTTTTTTTTCGATTATTACATTCGCATCACCAAGTCGAACCACGTTTCAAGAACGCCAAACACACGGAATTCCGTACTTTTTCAACCGATACACATTCGTGTCAGAAACCTCCAGCGTAACGAACCGATGTATCACACTGTCATTCTATCCTTCTCTAACTAGTGGCCCGTGCGTACAGTTTATCTTACTCCACCGAACAGAATACAGTGTCTCTTTCTCTCTCACTTCTCTCGTAATGTTTTGTTTTTCGAGCATATGCACTATTTCTTCGGCACTCGATCGAGTCGACGTATAATTCTCAACAAGGCCACACTAGCAATTTTCACACGCGCGACGCTTCGCGCACCCTTACGTATTCCACCATGTTGTCACCTTCGAAGATACTCTCACAGGCTAGCGGTGGCGGAAGCCATATTGCGATCGCTGTTCGTGACACCGCCAGAGCGCTAATCGGTAGATGGACAAGGGGGATTGCGCGCACGCCGATTGGTCGAGTGCACCTGTTCCATAGTCGCCATCTCACGGTACTCTTCGATACCAAACCGTATATCCTACTTATCGACGATATTAGAAAATATAGAATTTCACTGTACATGAATTTATAGAGAAGAATATACAAATATGCGTATCGATGGTTATGTCTCACATATAAAAACAATAAGATAACAAATTTTCTTTGAGCACTTAATTGATAGAAAAGAAAATATCGAATGATTTTAATTATTTGTCGATTTCCGCTATGATAATTGAAGAGAAAGTTTATGATCCTTTTTATATTTATTAATTTGTATCGATTTTGTAAAATATTAAACTTCATTCAATTTGATAATTATTCATCGTTCTATATAACTTTCACGTATGTTTTCCGTTATATATCAATTTTAAAATCCAAAATTTCTTCTTTTTTCGATATATTTTCTTCAAATGACAGTACTATTTAAATTCCCACTCGCGCATAACCTCACTCAATGACACGAATTGAATATAAATTACACATATGATGATAAATATTAATCGCATTCATTTCGAAATGTCACTCAATTATGCAAATATATAACTATGTATCATATCGAATGATAACAGATTCGTGAAAGTTGATACAGACATTTAAGCACTACGTTTAAAACGATTGATTATATTAAATGCTCTCGTTGAACGACAAAAAAAACATTATTTAATAAAGATCCTTAAATGTTTGATTCTCGAAAATTGCAATTTAACTTAGCATTTACTAAATCGTTATTTATGTAATTTGTACAGGACGAAATAAATTTTATCATCGTTTGAAATGACATTTAATGATAAGATTTGTGAATTTCTATAAATATCTACATTAAAATGCGGTTTACCGCTACATAATGTAATTCATGTTCCGTTTAAAAATTTTAATATTTTTTAATCTATAAAAGAAACAATTTGAACTTGATATTAAAATAAAAAAACATAAGGAAATACGAGGATTCTAATCTAACACATAAATGCTTCAATTTAAAAAATTGTGTTTTTAATATACAAAAAATCTTAATAATATTTGATTAAAAGAAAAATATATATATATATACATATACATATAGAAAAATTATGATAAAACTTTATCATAAATCTCATCCTATTCATTTGTGATAAGTGATCACTCACAGCAAATAACAGATACTTCCCATTTCACATAGTATCTGACAAATGGATAATTTGTAAAATTATTTATACATACGTATATATAAAATTCCTAATCTAGAAGATTCTTTACCTAATTAAGTTTTTGTATCCAGTTTTTCACATTTGTTTGTATAAAAATAATCAAAATAATTGAAGTCACTATAGAAACTATCTTCGAGATTGCTTCTAAGAAGATTTCACGCCGTGATACCGCGATTTTTTCCCTTCTTTATCAACGAGTAAATAAATAATAAAAATTATGCAAATGAAATCGAGAAACATCATTGTATATGTGTCAAGCGATAAATTATTCATTTACAGACTGATAAAATCAATTTAATCGAAATATCTGACCCATTTCACGTCACAATATATATACGGGATCAATTACCATTTAATCGAAGATACGGACGGTTGATTAAGCCGGAGCTAAAAGCTACTTTTAAATTTCGTATACGCGGGGTGGCAGAGTTGCCAAGGAAACGACATGGCGCCAAGACTTCGATTTTGTCGATGGCTCGAAACGAGACTCGACGGCTCTGTAGATCGCTCATAGAGTTGGATAGAAGTGGAAATCTGTATCAGCTCGCAAGTAAATAATAAATAAATTTCACGGACACCGATATCCAGCCATCAAATCGATCAAGAAGGATTTACACCCTCGGTACCATAAAACACGAGGACGAACTTCCTCCATTTTCCCGGCCTATCGGGAACACAGAGAACCGAGACACACATGCGCGAATAGGTATGCAACAAGTCTACGCCACTTTGCTTCGTCTTACGTGCTCTCTCGGGGTTCGCCGGTAGAAGAAGACACTTTTGCGTAAAAAGCCACAATTGCGCGTTAACAGAATCCGGAATTACATTGCATTAATCCAAAGAGGATGATAGGATCAAGGAAATACCATGGGCCACGCGTAGAAAAGTGCGCGCAACAAGTCCACGCCACTTTCCTCTGCCCTTACGCGGAGGAGTCTGGTGAGATTCAATTGAAACTCGATTACACGATAAATCCGCTATAGTCTGGAAAAAGAAAGATCGAAGGGGAAAAATAACTTGGTACTGGTTTCCCTAATTGAAGTTGGAATTACGTTACGTTTTCTAGCGTGTTGCTATTTCGGTAGCAGGATCAAGAGCCCACGCAGAAAAGGACGCGTGCAACAAGTCCTCTCGTCAATGGCCTCTTTCGGACGTTCCTCCTCTTTCGATGTTGTTACGTCATTGGTGACGCACGACTTCCGCTACGTCACGCGTACACGCCGCCCATCATCGTCCGTCTCTCCTTTCAGTCCCCCCGTGCTCGCCTCGCTACACACGCGACCAGATAAAAACAAAATTCCGATTTTCACCGCCCACGAAGAGAGGATTCCTAGGCGTCGTTTCTCCCGACTTCTTTTGTATTGGAAACAACATTCTCGACTAGTTGCTTCTTGCGCCAATCACTCGTTTCGTCGCGATACTTTTGTTCCGAGCAGTTGTATTTTGACGAACGCGAAAGTTGCCGGTCGTCTTTTTACCGAGACACGTTCGATGCCGATAAACAAGCCTGGCTCGTTCACCGGCTCGGACATCGATCCATTGTTGGTCGGTATACGGTTGTTTCGGTTTAAAGGGCTCGAGAAAAGAGGCAACTCCGGTGTAACTCGACCTCAATGAAGAAAGCTACCTGAATCGTTTTAAAAGATTACACGATCCAACCACGATTTCTTTTTTTTTTCGGCAAAGAGGAAAATTGGTTTCGACAGGGAGCTCTGTAGTATCGCGTTTAATCCCGCGATATCGATAACCTTTGATCGAATTACCTTGACTCCCGAGCAAACAGTGCAAACATTTAGGTTGGATAACGATTATACCCTGCCAACGAATCGATGGATCGAGGCACACACAGTTGTTATTTGTTGATCGATGTTGTTATTTCCAATTGGAGAGAAAGACAAATCGCACGATCGAACAAAATGATCGTTAAAACGTTTCCACCGAGATTACGGGTCTCGGGGATAAGCGGGGGAAAAGGAGAGAGAGGAAAATGAAGAGGGAGAACGAGATGGAGACGGGAGTAAACAAGAGCTGTTTCTAAACTTCGAACGACCGTGGCTGTGCTAGGAAAAGAAAGGGAAGTACAAAGAAGAAAGAGCAGCGAGACCGAAACAGAGCCAGAAAGAAAGAGAGAAAGAGGAAAGGGGAGGGAGGATAGAGCGAGTCTCTCTCTATTGATTTCCTGCCGAGGGTGGGCCAACGAAGGGAGGATTAAGTATCGGCTCTCTCGTTGCTGTTCTCCGTCTCTCTTCCTCATTTTCCACTTTCCTCTTTTTTTCTTTTGCCGGTTCTGCGCCAATTCGGCGAGCACCTGCCCGAGATGGATAAAGAGCGAAGAGAAGAAAGAGCAATGGTCGAGTCGAAAGGAGAGAGAAGAGAGGGAAGAAAGAAGGAAAAAAGAAAAGGCTATGCGTATCTCTCTCCTTCTCTCATCGTTTATCTCTCTTTCTCTCCCCGCTCCGTGTCCCGTTCGTTTTTCTCTGTCCTTTCCACGCTTGTACACGTGTGTACCGAATGTCGACGACTTTGTGGTGGTAAACAGAGAGTTGCCGGCACAAATGTGGTGGGATCTCGTAGCGTTGACTATTCGATAGTGTGGAGTGCAGTCACTTGTACTTGTATATAATACAATGGTGAGAGTGACGCAAACATTGACAATTATAACGATAGCTGTGGTAAGTACGTTGAGTGACAGTGACATCGAAGCATATATATGTGTATATATGCAAGCTTGGTATAGCGTACAAGTATACCCTCTGACGCCATCTATGTTGCATTAGTAGTAGTACTAGTAGTAGTAGTAGTAATAATAGTAATAGTAGTGGTAGTAGTAGTAGTAGTAGTAGTAGTAATAGTAGTAGTAAGTGATATAGTAGAAGTAGTAACACCGACAGGAATAGTGGTGGTGGTAAACTTGCGTACAAGCGACGTGACGTCAGAATCCGAGCAGCGTAACCCATGAATCCGCACCTCGTTTACTCCTTCCCTCTGCTCTCAGCCACCCTAACCGCTAACCTCCCTCGCGCGTCCAGATACTATCGATATTACTCTACTACGCGTAACGTAGACAAATTAATGGAGCAAACTCGTCAAAGGGGAGGACGCGTGCCATCTCCTAGACCATGATTTCTTCGGGATATAGAGGATTTGTCGTTTACTATCTTCCTTCCGGATTTACAGATCCGAATCGTACGCAACCGATTCCATCGAGATTATCCAAATCATTTTGGCCAAATCGGTCGGTCATTATGTCATATATCAAATCTGACTAATTTCGACTACTATTCGTATCATCGCGAAAGATCAACGAAACATTAGAAATATCTGCGATCGGTTGCAATGAATTTTATAGCCAGCAAAATGGTTTAAACCATGATTCACCGTCGTCTACTTTCCGTTCTATCACCTACCACCTTCCGCCAACCTAGATATCGTCGATATTAATGGACCGACCGTGGCAAACCAATTGACGCTGAGTTACAAGGTATCAGAGATTACTGCGATTAGTTTGCGCGTTTGTGTGCGTGGATGTGCATCGTGGTCACCTCGATATTACTATCCACTATCATTATTCCGGAATAGAGCAAATTAGTTTCTGATGCATAAGCGCCATTTCCGTCTCGTTCCATCTCGAAAAAAAACTTAACACAATTGTATCTCTTATTTTGTAAGAATAGTCTTCACGAAATTCAAGCATATTTTTCAAATCTCAAAAGTATCGGTCTCTTCATTTTTACCATACACCTCCGTGTATACCGTTGACGTAATTCGCGGTACACGAAGAGTCAATTAACGGGAACTGTTTTATCGGATCAGCGTCGATCAAGTTCCAACCACAATGGCGAGAAAAGCGAACAGATCGCGGCATAAACGTTAGCTCGGGGGATTATGATGACGTTCGAACAAATATTGCATTTCATTTACAATTAATAGGGTGTATTTATTTGCGTGGCTGGCGCGCGCATACCCCACGGCTACGCGTGCCAACCAGACGTTATCGA